ATGGCTAGGGTCAATAGATTGAGCCAACTGCCCTCATAGAGGGACCCAGGCCCAGCAGGCCCCAGTGAGTGGCGGAGTGCTGCACCACCTGCTCAGCAGGGAATCCAACCACAACACACCAAGCTCACTTGGGTGGGAGATACCATTTCCTACCCCCGGAGGTGCTGGAGTGGTATCTCCCACTCAGGTGACCTTGGTGTGGGAACGCTCCCCGTGGTCTCCAGCTGCACAGCACCCACCTCTACCTGGGGCTCCTCTGGCACCGGCAGCTCGAGGTGGTCTCTGCCTCCTGACATCCGGCTCTCTGGCTGGGGTATCTCTGGTGCTCCTGAGGCCGGTCCTTCTCCTCCAGTGTCCAGCCAAGACTGAGCTGAGCTGCTCCCTTTTATACTGCTCCACCCCTTGGAGCATGCCCAGTGTGGCTGGGGGGGCGGGACTTCCCCCACGCAAAGGGCATTAAGCCCTCCTGGCCCAGTGCGGGGTATGCACACCCGTCACAGAAAACGGCAGGGCTAGTTATAAAACCGTCGGATGTCAGATATGTGAGCCCACGTCTACTCCATTTGCCATTCTAGCTCTGCTCTAGAGACATACTAGAGATGTACCGATTCCTCTAGCAGCAGGTCTTGCCTGGGGCACGCTGTACCCTCAAAGCCGTGGTCCCTGTGGTTGAAAGAGACGGGGATTTGTCCAGCGATGGGGGTTGGACCAATGCAAGATTCTCTCTGTAACCGGAGCAAGGGCAGCTGTTGGAAGGGAATTGCTGGCGCGTTCACCCACTTTCCCCATGTGGGGAAACAGCCGGAAACGTTTGTGCAAGGGGGGAAGCAAAGTGACTTTAGCCTCCATGGACACTGGTGGCTGTAAGGCGCTAATCCCAGGACTTACCTGCGTCACTTGGCTTTGTTTCCCCTCCCAGGCTGGATGACCCCAAACCTAAGGAGCCTTCAGGCTTCCCAAGAGAACACTTACCAGAATTGAGGTTTGTTGCACAAGCATTCACAGTGAAACGCCTTTGCACAAGTACCCACCACACCTTCCCCTTCCTTGAAACAAACATTTGCTTGTACACGTTGAATCTCTCTGGTCCGGCACCCTCAGGACCTGCCCGGTGCCGAACCAGAGAATTTGCCGGACCAGGGAGGTCAGTATTGTCTGGCTGCATTCCCAACACTGCCACTGCTTGCTGGGCTCTGAGAAGACATGGAGAGGTAAATTAGAGCTAATAACAGCACAGAACCCTGAGAGCCAGGCCTGGGGCTGTAAAGAAACTTTACGGGAGTGCAGGAAACTTGGCCACAGCCTCCTGAGTGGACACCCAAGCCAACTAAAATCATGCCGGACCACAGATAGTGCCGGACCACGGATAGTGCCGGACCAGAGAGGTTCCTCCTGTCCTGATGTTCCTAGAAAGTGCGTGATGGGTTATGAGCAATAGTTATGAGTTATGAGGTTTTTTTCGGATAGTTTTGACAGTATATGTTCGGCTCTGCAACCAAGGCAAGTTATCAGGATCAAATACAAGATTTTTACCCTGACAGTCTCAGACACAGGCCTCCTGGGGGACCTTGGGCAAGTTACTTCACCACTGTGTTCCTCAGTTTCCCCAGCTGTGCCAAGGAGCGAATGCTACTGACCTGCTTTGAGATCTGCTGGGGGCATGTGGTCTATGAGACTATGTCTACACTGCAACACTATTTCGGCACACCGGAGGCTGTAAGGCGCTAATCACAGGGCCTGCCTCCATCACTTGGCTTTGTTTCCCCTCCCTGGCTGGATGACCCCAAACCCAAGGAGCCTTCAGACTTCCCAAGAGAACACTTACCAGAATTGAGGTTTGTTGCACAAGCATTCACTGGTGAAACGCCTTTGCACAAGTACCCACCACACCATACTGGAGTATCCCGAAAGAGCTGTTCCGCGTCTTCTCAGCAAGCCCGTTATTCCAAACGATAACGGGCTCGCTATTCCGACTCCCTGTAACCCTCATTCCACAAGGAGCAAGGGACGTTTCGCGCTGTGTAGACCAGTGCCTAATGATGAAATAAAGTATTTCGAAATAAGATGTGCAATGTGCGTCGCTCACATTGCGTATCGTTTCACACCAGGGTGCAGTGCAGATGCACCCTGGGAGAGAGGCCTTCTTGTTAGTACTAGCTGGCAGGCTGTTTGGCACGGCTGTGTTCCTACAGCTCATGGTCTGTCTGCCTGTCTGTCTCCGGCTTTGCCATCTCAGTGCCTGTGTGCGCAGGTTTCCATAGCGTGGGGGTGGAGGCCACCAGCGAGGGGCTGGGGAGCAGGCCGGGTTGGTCTGGTGAGGATCCATGTGCCCTGAGCTGAGAGGACGTGGCTTTGATGTGAAAGACCCACCCCACAAAGTGCCGGGAGCCCCATTCGCCCGGCGCAGAGGAAAGCACGCTGGGCTGGCACCTCCAGGGTCCATTTTCACTCTGTGGGTTTCCTTACCTGGAAGCTTCCTGGCCGAGCCCCTCCCACCTTGGGAATGCAGCGGGGCAAACTCTGGGCCAGTCTCTGCAGCCAGGAGCTGGGCGGAAAGGCAGGAAACGTCCCCGGGGCCCCTGGCTGTGACTTAAACCCATTGTTAGGCTCTCAGGGCAGCCATGAAATGAGAGCAGCTCCCTCCCTCCCCAGCCTCCTCCCTCTCCAGGCAGCTGGTCACTCTCTGTCCTGGCTCTGCCCTGACCCATGGCCCGGGAGGTCAGGGGAGGGACCAGGAGGCTGAGAGGGAGCGAAGGGGAAGCTCAGTTTCCTGCCTGGGGATCCAGCCCTCAGCGGCCCACTTTAAGAACATCAGAATGGCCAGAGGGGGTCAGACCAAAGGTCCAGCCAGCCAGGGTCCTGTCTGCCCACAGTGGCCAGTGCCAGATGCCTCAGAGGGAGGGAACAGAACAAGGAACCATCCAGGGATCCCTCCTCTGTCGCCCATTCCCAGCCCCTGACAAACAGAGGCCAGGGGCACCATTCCTACCAATCCTCCATGAATCTCTCTAGCTCTAACAAGGGAGTGAAAGGGGCATTTATCCAGCTCTTTTTTGAACCCTGTTACAGTCCTGGTCTTCACAACCTCCTCTGGCGAGGAGTTCCACAGGTTGACTGTGCACCGCATGAAGAAACACTTCCTTTGGTTTGTTTCAAACCTGCTGCCTATTCATTTCATTTAGTGACCCCTAGTTCTGATGTCCGGGAGCAAATAACTAACTTTTCCCTATTCACTTGCTGCACACCAGTCATGATTTTATAGACCTCTGTCCTAGCCCCCTTAGTCTCCTCTTTTCGAAGCTAAAACGTCCCAGTCTTTTCAGCCTCTCTCCAGCGGGCAGCCGTCCCAAACCCCTCAGCATTCTTGTTGCCCCTTTCTGAACCTCCTCCAAAGAGAGCTCTTTGGCGAGGACGTGAGCACCTCTGCACGCAGTGTCCCAGACGCGGGCACGCCACGGACGTACACAGAGGCAATACGCTATTCTCTGCCCCCGGCCCCGTTACAGCGAGGGCTGGGCGAGGGCGTCAGACAATCCCCTCACACCAGGGCTTGCTGGGTCCTGCCCGGACTGGCTGAGCGAGCTCTGTGGGGCTGAGAACTGAAGGACCCCCCGGAGCACGACTCCCCTGGGTCACTGCCCTGTTTCCCCTCCTCTCTCTCAAGCTCCTCCACCCTTCCCTTTCCCAGCTGTCAGCCGTGGTCAGACCCAGGGCCTGACGCCCCACACCCGCTGGGGCAGGGCCTTCCTGGAGGGCCCCCCGCCCCCACTGAGGTAACTATAAATCAGCCCTTTGATGCAGGTCTCCCTGCAGCCTTCAGCGTACTTGTCCTCGTGGACCTCGGGGAGGCAGGGCCGGGCTGTTCCCCTTCTTTGGCCCCCGGAGTGCTGCGGGCACCCGGAACGGCCTGGACCGGGACCTCTCCCCCCTCGTGGCCGGAGCTGGCAGCCGGGCCAGGGCAGCCCCAGGCCGGGAAGCGGAGGCCTCCCAGAGAAGGCCCCTTCTCTCATCCCATCCCCCCACCATGCTTTGTTTATTAACCTGGAAGCCATTAGCCCCTCGCCTGCGCAATGAGAAGGCAGCTCGCGGGGTCGGGGACCCGGGCAGGGAGGCTCACGTTAGCCTGGCCACGGTGGCCTCGCTGGCTGGGCCGGGCAGCACTCCGGGGAGAGAGCGCCGTTTTCCTGGCGCTGGGCAGAGGCCACGGGCAGGCCTGTGTGTGACACCCAGCCTGCCCCCCAAAGGGGCGCAGAGGCGCCGGGGCGGCCTGGGAACGCTCCACGGGCTTGTGGCATTTGAAACTACAGAGCCAAGCCCTCGGGTGCCTTCTCCTCTCGCTCCTGCGCGGGCACCACCTTGACCAGAGCTGCGCCCTCTGAGGCCAGCGGGGCCTGAGCTCCTGAGCATCCTGGCTGGCTGGGGGGCTGATTGGGCAGGGCATGGGGGGGCCCTAATTGGGCCAGCGGCCTGGGAACGCTCCACGGGCTTGTGGCATTTGAAACTACAGAGCCAAGCCCTCGGGTGCCTTCTCCTCTCGCTCCTGCGCGGGCACCACCTTGACCAGAGCTGCGCCCTCTGAGGCCAGCGGGGCCTGAGCTCCTGAGCATCCTGGCTGGCTGGGGGGCTGATTGGGCAGGGCATGGGGGGGCCCTAATTGGGCCACTTGGGCCGGGCAGCACCGAGTCCCCGCTGCCCCGACCAGGCGTGAAGTCAGCTCCCCACTGCTCTGGGGAGTGATGAGCCACGTCCCTGACGTGCCGGGGAGATGGCCCGTTACTCATATCCCTCCCTCGCCAGCCAAGCACCTGCCCGTGCAGACCCGCCTTGGGCTGTATGGTGTAGCCTCCACGGATGCCACCCGTGGTGGCACAGAGAGGAGGTGGCCGCGTGGGGTTCGCCCAGGGCAGAGAGCCGCAGAAGAGGCACGCTCTCCCGGTGAGCGTCACGACGGGACACGCGCTTGCGCAGGGATGTGGCAGGAAGGCGCGAGGACAGACAGACCCAGGAGTAGGCAGGGGGGCAGGAGACGGTCCTGCTGCCGCAGCCGTGACTCGTCCCGGGAACGGGGCCGAGCACAGTACCGGATGTTCACAGCCAAACCTAGGAGGGATGACGTCTCAGAGCGGGCGCCGGGTTAGCCTGGGCCTGTACACCGAGGAGCCCTGTGGCACCAAAGCTCTGTCTGCGCTCCCGGGTTATTTCCAACTAACCGCTCCTGAGAGAACGACTGCGAAATACGCGTTTTCCTCGGCACAGGCAGGAGCTGTTCTGTTTGAATAACCAGCCCTTTACTGGGAAGTACGGGGCTCAGTCAGGTGGACACTTGCCTCGTGGGTTTGAAAGAAGGGGGGTTCTTGTCAGTTACCTCCCCAGTGTAGACAGGTTCTTTCGAGATACCTCCCCAGTGTAGACCTCGGAAAGGCCTAGGATCATGCATTTTCATGGGTAAAACCCACTTTGGGGCAGCCCTCCTGGTGCACAAACTGTGTCTGGCCCAGCCCTGCCCCCCTGCTCCCAGAAACTGGGCCAGACCTCGGTGACACTGCTGCCCACCCAAAGTGCCCCCGGACGTGAGTTTCTCTGGATTTAGGGGTGATTCCTGGCCCTGGCCCTGAAGTCTCTGATCCCATCTGGCCCGCTCTCTGTCCCCAGGGAGCAAGTGGCCTTGCCTGCTTGTCTCCTTCTAGCCCCCTGCCCCAGCTCGGCCGGGTGAGCGGGTAGATTCCCGTGTGGTCCGTCAGCCGGCCTGCTGCTCCCGTCCTCCAGCGGGAATCACCTCGCCCCTGCTCCCAGCCCGGCTCAGATCTCCTGGGTGAAGGCCAAACAGATCCCTCCCCCATCGGGTCCCCCCCAACCCCCAAAAGAAAGAATGAAGAGAAATGCCCCCTCACCCCCCGGCCTGGGGAGGCAGAGGGGAGCCCTGGGAGGGCAGGGGTCGGGGAGTGGAATGCTGAGAACAGCTGCTCTCCACGGGAACGCCCCGTGCCATTCGGCCCTGGAAACCGCCCAAGTCACAGGAGCTCTGCTGGCGTTGACAGGTGGGGCCCGTCGGCGCGAGCCCGGGAGCTTTGCCACAGATAAGGCTGCCCCTGCACCTACCCCGCAGCCGCAAGGATTCTCCCCCGCGCCTGGAGCCGGCTGCCGCGGGGGCAGGGCCAGCTTACCCGTGTCGCTCGGGAAGGCATGGCCCTGCCTCCTCCTGCAGCGGGCATCAGGGCTCCGGACACGGGGCGGCCAATCCGAAGGGCGGCGTCGGGGCGCCCAGTGAGCGTGAAGGGCAAGGGACCAGGCCCTGCTCCGAACTGAGAGCCGTGCGGCCGGACCCCTGAAGTGGCTGGCCAGGGGTCCTACAACGGGGGTTCACCTGCCACGCGGGGCCACAGAGCTGATGGAGGAAATGCTGTGTTCCTTGCAGCAGCCGTTAGACCAGGCCTGGGCACAATACGGCCCATGGGCCAAGCCACCGGGCCCAGCCTGCGGACGCAGCGTCCTTAGGCTGGCTCTCAGCGGCCCCCTGCAGCCGACAAGCTGAGCGTAGACCAGAGACGCCAGATGGGGGCAGGCAGACCGGGGGGCGCGAGGGGAGCGTGACCAGCTGGGATCTCCGGAGGGATCTGGGGGAGGAGGGTTAGCATGAAGAACACATGAAGGGGCTTGCTTGAGACTGTAACAAGGGGGCCAACCAGAGACCAGCATGATAATGAATTGGTGAGAATCCCTGAGAACGTGGGTTCAGTGCTCTCACCACTAGGCTACACTGCCTAGAAGAGAGGTTGCCTGTGTACTACAGGCTGTGACCCGCCGGGGAAGAGAGGTGTCCACACTGGTTTTTCGACCCCCGAAATGCCACCGTTGCTACCACCGGTTCTGCTGCTCCACTGGGGCTTGCGGTT